CTATATATTCTTAGTCACGCTCTATCTCTTTGACGTTGGGCTCACAATATTTGTGGTGGCCGATTTCGACGTCGGTCGAGCGAATGAGCGACTGGAGTGAACCGTATGAATCGATGTGGAGAATGGCTAACGAGCCAGCTAAAAGAGATAGAGAGTGGCTAAGAATGTATAGTCAGACAAATATAAGACAGACATGCAACAAGCGAAATAGGCACACATGAATAAAAGTGACGAATAGTTTACAAGTGGGACACGTCATGCGAGCTCATATAAACCAGACAATAATAAGAACGAATGGTACATATAGATTGTTGCAATACAAATGGCTTTGTTAAATAAATTAATCGAAAGAGCTTAACCAAGTTAGATGTAAGTGAACTGGAATATATGTGGAGGCCCGACAAACCTATTTCCTCTTTCTATGTACAAATACAATTCACCAGAGTGTGGTGGTGGTGTTTGGTTCTCTGAGCTGGGTGTTTTCGTTGTGCACCATTCATTGTTCTTCTGAACAACATCATCAGCACAAACTTCAGATAGAAGTGACGTATTTAAGTCTAACTGACAATATTTTCGAATTCAAATATTATTAAATTATCAATTAAAAGGAAAACTTTACACAACATTACTTTCCCATACAGACTATAATACATAACAAATTCTCACTGTGTTCACAATGTAAGCAATGAACAAAAAAACACTTATCTTACCTGAACTATAATTATTCATATAGTCCTCATTTATTGCATTACGTTGATTGGTATTACTATTATTATTCCCAGTGTATAACATGGCTGAACTGACTGAATTATATTTCGTAGCAGTGTATGGATTATATGCAAGATTATTAGAAGATATATGATTACGATGTTTTTGATCAAATTCTGGCTGAATAATTATTTGTTGACTTTCTGAACGTTTATATGGTGCGATGATTGAATCCAATGTATTATCCTCACTGTTAGTTGGTAAATTCAATTCCGATTGATATAACCAAATAGTACGATTATTATTATTATGATTATTATTAGTTTCTGTATCAAGTGTATGCGTATTGATTGGTGAAAATACTGTCACATTCGAATCGTCAACAGTTGATGTTGGACTTGGTTGACCACAAGATAAACTACCACCAATTGAACGACTACTATGTTCACGATATACACTTGTTGGTTTTAATAAATTTGCATCACGTAATAATAAGGTTGATGAAATTGAATGAGATTTTGAATGTTGTATATCTGGATATTTATTTAAATTTGCATGAATACCATTTAATTTTTCATTAGATGGTGATAATAATTGATTGATACCAGTGTAAGAATTCTTTGATGAATTATTTGTATCACCATAGCTCTAAATTGAAAAAAAACAATAACGAGACAACGTTTGTATCATAAGCAAATTATTGAACTTTGAACAAATCTGCGTGAAAATAGGTTTATGCAGAGATTTCTATTCTCAGTTGAAATGTTTCATATTCGAATAGAAGATAAAAAAGAAACTGTTCTCATCAATGTTGTAATTAATCGGACAATATCATTAAATTGAAATAATTAAATATTTTGAATTGTCAATTTTATAAATTAAAAATTCCTTGTCTATGCTAATAGTTGTTCTCTCTATAGGATTTTACAACGTTTGGCTACTTGTTTAAATTAATTTGATTCCAGTTTTGTCGGCACATTTGAAAAATTAACAAATTATTTTTATTCCATACGTTTGATTGTGATGATTTTTATGTAAAATAATGCAAGATACTGCCGAAATTCTATTTTATGTTGGAAAACGTGCCGAGAACGGGTTTTTTTTTTGAGTGGGCAGGGATAATTTGTGGTGCACAAATGACCTTAATTCTACTATACACTTATATGTGCATCTATGTATCGCTATGGATTGTTATGTGTTAAGCAGCCTATCCAGCTTTTGGTTTTTCAAGGGGTTGATAATTTCGGTACACAGTTTGCAAAAACACACACACACACATAGAAACGATATTTCTTTAAGTTAATTTTCGTGTTATGTGCAGGTGTACAGTAAGTACAGTTCTTATGAAATAGGCGTATTTATTTGCACAATAACTATGCGCTTGGTGCGTATTTCTTCTACAACTGTGCCTTGTATGCATGTTTGTATGTGTATACCGAGATGTATGTGTATGCAAAACTATCGATGTGGGAATGCAAATACAACCTCTGGAAAACTAAAAGAGAACCTATTTAATACAATCAGATAAATCGATTGGGAACGAATAAAATTGACAAAGATTATTATTATTATTATTAATGGTAGTAGTATTAGGATTATATGGCCTAACAAATTGATGGGAAGATATTGATAAGCGATACGAAAGAAAATCATATTCAGATAGTTACTTTAACAATAAACAGAGTATAGTTATTATTATTATTATATGATATTTGACTTGGAATTGATCCAAGCTGGACGGCCATTAGAAGCCTTGTAATAATGGACTTCGGTTCTTCCTGGTATGAGACTCATCAGCAGTGTGCATTTTACCACCCCCACCAGCGAGAACGGAACGCAAGACCTTCGTCCCCACTCGTGAGTGCTTAACCCTTAGATCACTAGGTGGGGAACCCTACGGTGTTAATGTCTGTCATCAATCAGTCCATACTGTTGAACAACCTTCATACAGTGCCTTCGGTGAATGACTATTTTCTACCCAACAAGGATTAACTGCATTGAAAACCAGTCCCATACTAGGATGAAACGGGCGTCAATTCCTTTCAGATCAGTTCGTGATTTCGACTACGGAAATAATACACTCTCCAAAAATCCCCTTCATGAAAAATATCTATCAAACAAACAGTATAATGTGATTGAAAAGGGCTTTGTCGACACTTGATTATAGTATCTGTGAACCCGTAGAGGGAGACTCGCAGTTTCTGATATCAATCCATAGTGAATACTGATGAGGAGCTACATATTAGGATAGAGCATCCATCTAGGGCTTTGTGGTTTTTAGTGGTACCTCAATTCTGATCAATTTCATACAGATGGTTGAATATTCTATCAAATAAAAGACAATCAGTCTCACTTATATTATTCCAAGCACTACTATGTTGTATGTTTTTATTTACACAGTAAATTGAATATTTCTACCGGTCTCCGACATTGTTCACTAACTAGATCAAATAATTCAAAGATATTCATTATGAACATAAATTATCTGTTGTAATTCTAGACGTATCTTTTCGATAAGTTATTTTTTGAATGAAGTCATTTACTGATGTAGTTGATACTATTACTTATTTCAATAGTCATTTATTAGTTAGTAGGGAATGTTACAATCGCAATTATAGTTCAGGATCTCGTAATCAGTGAAATACTTGACAATATAAAATATATCATAATTTAAGTGAATAACAGATTTATGCGTAATGAAATTTAGTTTATGAACGGTAAAATATGTAGTCAATATATATTATAAATTAATTGGAGCAAGACAATAACATTGTAATGTGTAAACTCAGTGGCTTACAACCACCATAGGTTTTGATTTCGAGTCTTACATGCGTAGTCATCGATGTGTAATTAGACGAGACAGCTGTTCAGGGCTTCCGAGACAGAACTAGTTTCAACGCTGACAATATTATCGATTCAGAAGTGAAGTTAGTATTCATAATGTATACAAATGTCTTTAAGAAATGTTCTTGAATTCAATGAAACAATCAGTAGACTATTATTTCTACCACTGAAGCTTAATCGATCAGCTAACTACGAAATCTATTAGAGTAGTATCAGTAAAAGCTTCTAGAGTATGCACGAATCTTAGCATAAACAACATGCAGGTAAATTATTTGGACTTTTACCACTATAAATAGGCCATATATTTTACCTGGATTCACATTGGTTATTTCATTAAATAATGTATGGGTCTTGGTGGCAGAGATTATATCTGTAATGTTTCCCAACAAACAATGTCTACTAAAGTATCATTTTAAATAGCTGAAGGATAGATGAGCCATTCAGATGCATTATTTTGGAAAATCTGAAAATTTATCAGCTTGGGGATGTTAGATTCCCAGAACTTACTCGATAAAGGTCTTAATTTTGGATTTTGTTCAGGGGCTGATCAGTTGACCTTCAGGTGACATTTCCCTCTCAGAAATTCCTTGACTGTCATTTGTTGATGGATTATTTTAGTACGCTATTATGTGGCTCTCCCAAGGGCGTTTACTCATGGTTTAAATAAGCTTGATTTGTGTGCTCAGACACCTTGTATTTTCGAGGTGCTTGTAGAATACCCTCTCTACGCCTTATCCAGTCTTCTTGATCTAGTTAGCCACGGCTGAGTGAGGTGAACTCGTCATAGCATTCAAGTATAAAATTATCATGATAGTGTAATTTAATTAAGGAAAATATATTTCCTTGAGTTTTAGATTTACTTGCTTTCATTATAAATTTCCGTCGAATTGTTATTTTATCAACTACTAGTTCCAAGCATCCGATAGCTTTACTTACACACATGTACCTTAAAATGTTATTGATTGTTTTCCTTAATGAATATGAGTGAATTCTATGTTTTTGTGAGTCTTACTTACTTAGATATCTTGGTAGACTAAGTAAATAAGCACTGCATACAAAACTTAATGGTTGCAGCTTTCAAAAATCAACAAAACTGAATATTATTTATCTGAAACATCTTATTTTTGTCTACATAGATCATGTTACATTGATCGATTGACAACAATAGTAATTGTGGTTAAGTCACCATCAGAAACTTGAAAGCAGTAGATGGCCATTTCTTCCTGGTATGGGACTCATCAGCAGTGCGTATCGACGACTCCTGCTTCTCGCTGGATTCGAGCTCAGGACCATTGGTTTCGCGTGCGAACTCTTAACCAACTGAGTGATTCAGACATATCACCAAATATTCATGATTAAATATACCATATAATTGCATACACGTTCACTAATACGCATTAATTACGAAAAAACAGACTAGTTAAAAATTGTTAGAAGAAATGGCAAACTGTCAAAAGTCTGTATAGAAAGAAATCTCTTGAAGGTTCTGAAAGAAAAAAAAATAGTCCAAAATACAAACGAACAAAGATGATCTATCCATTTTAATGTTTGATATTTGATTTGAATTTCTAGCCGTTTGCTTTACAGTCAGAGATTTTTTTATCACATTTAAAACAAAAAACACGAACAAATTATTATCGTATACCATTCTACTACTACTACTAATAATAATACTACTACTACTAAGTTGCACGTACTTCTTACATTTCATGAAATAAATGAACTATAAAGCGTAGGAAAACAAATTTGACGTGATTATCCCTTATCTTTTGTTCATGTCAGACATTTGATCGGATATGAAAACATTAATTATTCATGCCATTTTTATTCAATGAGATATTCAATAGACCGAAATTCACTGCATTTTATTTTTATTAATATTTATTTATTAGACCATTCTTAATACAGAAACACACATAAAATGTTTTTTTTGGCGGAATGATGTTAAGCACTACTAAACTATGAGATAACATTTCTTTCTTTACTGTACTGCATGTGTTTTCAGTTAGAAAATGTAATTTATCCAAACAGTGGAGTTCCGTCAACTAGAATTAAGAGATATATATCTTTAACAAGCGAACCAGTCTACTTATCTTATTTTGGAGTAGAATTTATCATGATATGAAGCATTGATTAGATTTATGATTCAACAAAATTAGAATATTTTTTTATCAATTTTACCTGAGGTATAGAAGTAAAGAAGTTAGTTAGATAAACAAACAAGCTTATCAATCAATCGATAGGTTTTGATTAGAACTTCAGGCTCAATAGAAAACATCATGCTAGCTACCTCTCAGTCATTCAAATGTTTAATTCTAAGATTTAACATGTTTTGTCTCTGAGACAAACTGAAAACTCTTTTTCGAACTTAAGTTGTCGTATTTCATTTAGTGTAAGATGTAGATCTTTATAGTGAAAACAGGCTCTAGCAAGAAGTGATCAGATTGTTCGATGAACGTTGAAACACTATTTATGGCTTGCCGGTGGTCAGTTATTGTCTAAATTAAAAATCAATAATTTTGATGGTTGGCATTCATTAAAAATTTCGGAGAAATCGAATTTGAGAATGCTTACTACTAAACACTTGTATTTTGACTAGTAATAGTTGTGGTTTTTTAAAGCTTGATTTTTAAAACTAAAATGATTTGTTTTAGTTTCAATTAAATGATAATTAAATTGTTTCTCAATCTGTTGTGAAACAATTTTCACTTGAAATTTTAAAACGAGGAGAAGTAACTGAAGTTTTTATTGATGAATAATGAAAATTGATTCTTATAAAAGTTAGTTTATGCTCTTCGTCTAATTATGTATTTAGTCAGATGGTTTATTGAAATATCAACTGATTGGTAAGATATAGTGTACTAATGAAGTATTTGTTACTAAAATAAATTAAACTCTAAACTTGTACTGTTGCCGGACTTTGTTTCATAAACTATAATCCTCATAATTCTTTGATGAAAACTAGTACAATATGCTCACTAGTGACAAGATTCGTAAGCGAATTCTCGGAATTCTAGTTAGAAGACGTGACCGATGAAGTTCATCCCTGACGAGTGTAGGTAGTAACTACCAAAGACAAATAGGTGAGATCACTTAAAAATTTCTAGACTGATCAGAGTTAGACATAAAGACTATTGGACGCTGGCGTGGTGGTTCAGAAGTGAGACATTTTGGCCCACAAGGTCTTAGGTTTCAGGTTCAAACCCAGAGAGTAGTAGGTGTCGTGGATGCGCACCACAGGTGGGTCCGATACCATGACGAAACGTCCTTCCTTTGCTTCCAGGTGTCGAATGGTGGTCTAACAATATTTGGTTCATAATTTCAGTAATTAATCACTGTTCAACTTTGATTTGAACTCCTAGAGAGCTAAATGCGTGAAAGAATTTGAAAAAGCTTATGCAGTAGTGACATATTTTGAATAGGAATAATCAAAGCTTTCTAACTAGAACACGAATACAATTTATAATCACGAACTCAAATTTTTCAAATGGATAAATAAACTTGATATATTAAAATCAGTAAGATTGGGTCTACTGTACACTAATCTTATTTGATAAGATTAAATCGACCAATAATGTTTGAGTTAAACATTCGCCACTTAAAAGTCTTTCCATCAGAGACTGGCTATTACTCTAAACCTTTTTATTTGACAATGTTGGAAGAAACATTATTCTGAGTCCAATCCTAAAGACAGTACGTGAAGGGATCAGTACAAGTCTAATAAGTAAAGTTGACACGATTTCATATGAAAACCTGTTACTTACTGAAAAACAGCATTATTCTGAAACTGTTTCATCTATTATCTTACAAACTTAGTATTGACTAAAAAAGCTGATGTGCTTTAAGATTTACCAAAGATGCCAATGTGTGTACACTAGAATGACTGCATAAAACAAACTAGATTTGCATTTAAATGGAGCTATATCTAAATCAGAGGATGAAGACTTCCTAACTCAACTTAAATATATTGTTCGTATTAACTTCAAACTACTTTTCTGGAAAAAACGTCTTGCAAATCCTTCTGTAGACTCATTCACTACATAAAATCTCTTTATATACTTTATACACAAGACTGTTTAGAGTAAATTGTGCTTGAAATTAGCGACTAACATTGTACGCATATTACTGAACGTATGTGAACAAGCATGTTGAAGACTTGTGGATCAAATAAAACATTTTAAATCCTTTTAACTACTAACATATTATAAGTAGCGTGTTATACAATTATTATGTTTCAGGAAAACTGATTATATATGAATTTTTAAATTCAATCAAGTACTTTATGATGTTTAAGCTATGCTAAGACTTATGAAATATATTAGTATGAATCGTTTATCTGTAGTGATAAACAAATGATACAGTTTCCTAAATGCCAACATCTGATCTTTTTTCAGCTATTCATATTTAAACAGAGAAATAAGAAGACATATTTTGTGAGATAGTAGTACCATTTCGTGCTTTCTCGTCAGTCACATACAAGCAACATGTTATTTGTGTAAATACAGTTTTGAAGATAAGGTCAAAATTTCTTATTTAGCATGACATTCACTCAGTAGAACTATGGTGAACAAAGGTCAACATACAGTTGTTTTTGAACACATAAAGTTGGACTTTTCTGACCAATCAAGATAGCTTCGAGTAGTTTCAGTGTGTGTGGGTTTTGATAACATGTCACAACTTTAAAGGCTGATTTTGGGTCAATTTGATGACCCCTCATCATTAGATGTTTTGCGATGGACGAGGCTGGGTTTCTTGATCGATTTTGAGATGACGGGCTAGGTTGATGAATCATGGATTCGATTAAGCATTTTGGAATATGTTCCCCTATCCAGTCTTCCGATCGGCGATCTGTCCTCCCTAAGTAACTTTCTCCGCAGTTACATGTGAATTGGTAAATACAGTGGGATTTGGACTGAATCATATTTAAACATATTGCTAATGGACGACTAACAAACTGTTTGTGTCATATTTTTGTCATTGATCAAAATTTTATTTGCTGGCTCACGGATGGGAACTTAGGTTATTCGAAAGAAATCAATCTACGTTTTGGGTGATCTTCCTTTTTAACATTTTATCCTTCTATTTTATTTGAATGAGGTTACAAGGTCTCTATCGAAACCGTTCACTCTTTTATATCTAACAGTCAATACTAATCACGTTAGCCAAAGATGTTTTTCGGGATGCATAAGAAACTGGAGTGTAATCTTTTGAATATTGGGTAAGAAATTCCAAGAAATTCGATAGCTTATTTTTGGCTTGATCGTTAACCGTCTCCTGATTATGATTATTATTTTCAACAACTCTAGCTTAACTACTTACAAGTAGTGCCAAATTTCACTCATAATTATTTTCAATGTTTGGTACCGTTTTGTCAACTTACATCACGTTGCAGTAAAAAAATCATAGTTTCGTCGACGTCTAGGTTACACTCTAAGTAACATTCACAATGTCGGATTACGTATTTTATCGTACAAACAATTCACCTACTGTCCCCAGAATTTTGTCTTAACTTTGTGCATAGTTTATACTAAAGTTAACCTTGTATTACGATCTGTTCAACATGGTCTTGCACACTATATTCCCGTCAATGATTATAGCTATGACGATAAATCTTGATCCATTTAACTAGGACTGGATCCCTCATCAAAACAGCAGCTCGAACTAGGTCTAAACTTTAACATGTTTTGATTGGTGTTTTAGGTTCGTATTGCTTTTGAGCCAGTAAGTAGAACTAAATAACTGGTCAGAGTTTATTGTTTCTCATTGGTTCTCATTCTGATGATATTTCATAATAAACTGTCTCCAAATCTAAACAATCGACTTCACATAACCATTTAAAATTGAATGTCTGGATAAGCTTTTGTTGAAGAATACTCGTAAAACACGAGAGTCAGAATTTTCAATACAAATGTCAAGACAATTCTACTGTATGAAGAGCAAACTTTGAGAACCAGGAAAGTACTCATCCACAGGATTCTAGTGTTTAATAACAGTTGTCTACGCAATATACTTTGGATCCGTTGAAGACAACCTATTATGTGATAGAACAAGCCAGATTCCAGCTGAGTAAGAAATTAAGAAAAACACTGGAAGTGTATAGAACAAAAATTGAGGAAAATATCTAACAGTGTCACAAGACAAGCCCTCACTTTGGACCCTCGAAGGTTAAGGGATAAGAAGAAGGCCAAGGAACACATTGCATCAAGAATCAGAAACAGAAATCAACAAAATGAACAGCAATTTGATAGAACTGGAAAGGGAAGCCGAGAACACAGTAGGTTGCCGGATGCCGTTGATTGCCGTATGCTCTATTAAGTGTAACGGGAGTAGCTAAGTAAGTAAGTAAGTAAGTAAGTAAGTAAGTAAGTAAGTAAGTCCAACACATAGAAATTTATTTAAATTCACAAAGACTTGGGTTATAATTTGACTTCTGTTTCATAGATCATAAATTAATGACTAGAGGATATGTTTCTTTAGCTTTTTGATCTTCACCGAACAAATTGATTTTACATTTAATAAAAAAAAATAATATATATATATATATATATATATATATATAAATTACCATTACACTTGCATCAATCAGTCATTATTATTATAAATAACTTACATTGATCGATCCATTGGAAGCATTTGTTCCGATACTTTGTTGTGAATGTGAACGTTTCGTTGTATCAAGTTGACATAAATGACTAGCTGGATGATATGAACCTTTACTTGTACCATTTCTAACTGTAGTTGACTTCGACACAATGGTATAACGTCCTGCTGTGTTATTATTATTAGTAGTATGATTGGATTTATTCCCATAACCATTCGGTTGATGATGATTTCCATTGTAATGAATATGATTCACATCACGATGATTCATGTAATCGTTCATATAATTTGTATTGATCATATTAGGCATAATACACGAGTAACTAGAAGGATAAGAAGAGTGAGAGAGAGAGAAGAGAATATTGATTAGTGCTGTAATGCATTTGCTATTAATGATCATCATATACTACTTATAAGAAGCGCGAACCACAATAGGATAGAAAGGTATTAGAATTTTCACCGGTTCTATATTTCTTATCAATGTGAGAATTTCAATTTGTCCTTGCTTATAAACGATGGTGAAGTTATCATAGAGAAATACCATTCTGACCCACGGGGCAGTCAAAAATTGTTTACTCTTGATTTAAGAGACGTTAGGAATAGGCTTTTATGACTTCATATTTGGGTTAAGCCAGGATCAACAAGCTAAACACTGTGGACTATGATATGGATCCAGTAAAAAGGATTTCAATGGCCAGTATAGTAAGCTGAGGAAACTTTACTAGTTAGTTTAATGTTCATCCATTATTACCAAAGCTAACTTCCTCAAAGTCTTTGTGGTTACAGGTAGTCAGCTATGACTTCTGAAATAGTTTTCAATGTATGTATGTTATGATATGATATTCATTTTAAATGTAGCTCAGGTAGTTCAACATTTGTAATTTGAAATCTGTAAACAACTTCAATGAGTAAAACATGAATTCTCATTTAGAGTTATAGAGATTAGTGTTTTTACACATTTGAAATCATCAATCAATAATTGTTAGACCACTATTAGAAACCTGGAAGCACTGGGTTGCCTTTTCGTCCTGATATGGGACTCATCAGCAGTGCGCATCCAGGATTCAAACCCGGGACCTTCGGTATTATGCGCGAACGCCTAACCACCATTGGTCTAACAATGATTGATTGATGATTTCAAATGTGTAAAACGTGAATATTGATGTAGATCTGTATGTAAGTTCCCTTTGTTTTCTCTTTATATTGATCTATTTAACATTGATTGATTTATGAATACTCATATGTGGTAGGTTCAAAATTAGCTCTCCGTTAATTCAAAAAGCTATATGACGTCAGTTATATATTCAGGAACAATTATACAGAAATACTAAATGGAAAAACTAGTAGCCATGGATCACTGTAGCTTAATCAAGAAACCATTATTAGACTTTTCGGTAGGTTCTTAAAATCAACGCGGGAAAGTCTCGTATTTCTAAATCTTGATGTACAGATCAGTTCACAGTATATAAATTTAACCAATTTCCCCAAGTTCATAAATATAACAATTTTCTGTGAACCACTAATGCTTTCAGCTACAATATGTTAAGTATTATTCAATTGTATGTACTAGTAAAAGTCAAATAACGTGACAAGTATGAAGGCTAGAAAGGAGTATGTATTCTGTATATTATCATAGTATCATGCATGACCAACAGAAGATCGACTAACATCGATCCATGGTTAAATGATTGTGTGCTCATTGTTAAGTAGTCAGTCACATACTAGAACGAAACAACCTTCTAATATTTCTGAAATCATGAGTCGATCATTGTTAGACCACCATTAGAAACCTGGCAGCACTGGATGACCGTCTCGTCCTGGTATGGGACTCCGCAGCAGTGCGCATCCACGACTCCTGCACCCCGCAGGATTCGAAACCAGGACCTTCGGTATTGTAGGAGAACGCCTAACCATTGGACCACTAAGCCGCTATCTAACGGTGTTAATGTCTAACTTGATCAATTCACGGAGTTGCGCAACTTCATACACAGTCTTCGGTAGTTACTGTCTACACCCGAACAGGTTGAACTTCACTGGTCACGTCTTCCCACTGGAACCCGTAATGCAAACCTTCTATGGTTCATAATGATATAAAGTTGTAATATACTTTGAACTGTAGCACATTATAACAGTAATATTTTCACCATCCTATTAACTTTCATTTCATAAGGTCAGTTTAAACAAAGCATTAAAAAAAAAGGAAATAACGCATCCAAATGGCTTAACATTCATCATCATCATCTTCATCATTATTCATTGTTCAATAATGCATAATAGTCATCCATGTACACTTGATTTTGCCTTGACCTTATCCGTTTGTTGTTGTTTCTTTTTTTACTGTTATTTAGCGTGTATTTTCAAAAAAAAAGAAAACAGAATTCTGGTCAATACTCCACCACCATTTCATTGCCTATTTACTTATTTATTCATTTACTGATTTAATTTTGTGCAGTACACTAGTGTGTTTACTTTCCGGCGATGAATCATTGTAAACCATGAAAAAAAATTGTAGTTCTCTTTTGCAATACCAATAGATGAAGAAGGAGAATTATGAATAAGATGAAAAAAAATACACAAAAGTATCATCACGATTGGGAATTCAGTGATCGATTGATTATTTCAGGTAACCAAAAACAAAAATCAGTGCAAGAATTATTTTTTTTTTAATCTGGAAATAGAAAGGTTATTATTTGCATAATACATATTGTGGTGTGTGCTACTTATACGAACGATATAAGTAGTATAAGAAGGGACGTGAAAGAAGAAGTCTCACGGCCAGAAGAGGAAAACGGAAAGCAAATAAAGCAAAAGCAAGAAGTAAATGGAGTACCAACAGGAAGGAAAGGAAGCAACAACGGGAATGGAAGAAGGATGGAGCGTTGGAAGTCACGACTCAAAGACGGTATGCAAATAGAGTATTCAATGTAATGTTTTCGTTTTTAATTGACTCAGAGTGTAAAGTTGCATAACACGGCCTTCCTCGCCTGCCTCAGTCTTCTTAATATGAATAGTTAGTATACAACAACTTTTGATTTTTGAATAAATTAGGTTATGTGGAAAAAGTAATAGCTTATACGTTTACTATGAAGCTAAGATTAGGGGAATGAATTTCACACTGTTCAATTGCTCTATTAATGTTTAAAAACTTGAATAGGTCAGTCATAACTGCATACAAATAGGTCAAATAGTGTCTGCAGGACCATGTAAACTGTCAACAATGCATAAACAAAAAGTTAAGGGTAATAAGGTGTATGATAATAGTAGTTCATAAATCGAACGTGAGTTTACACTAATCGGAAACTAGAAATACTATGAAGCAGTTATTTACTCATTATACAATAAAAATGTAACTAATGATAATAATTATCCACCTTTTATTCACACAACCACAGCATTTACGTGTCTTGTGAGCTAGTCAATCATTTAACAGTAGTAATTAAACTGATGAATACATTTGAATAAAATCCAATCAGCGAGCTTATCATTTTTCAAAATCATACTCCTTCTTTCTATTAGTGTTAGTTAGATTTAGATTAGATTTAGAATATTCGATCTTACGGGCGAACGCCTAACCTCTGGACAATCGGGGCCGGCATCTTACGGTGTTATTATCTAGTTCTGATCATTCTAGGGATTAAGCGTAACTCCACCCATTTGTCTTCGGAGGTTATTGCCTACACCCGACAGGGCTGAACTCCAGACATTAGGCGTTCGTGCGCAAGGTCGAAGGTCCTGGGTTCGAATCCTACGAGTAGCAGGAGTAGTCGATGCGCACTGACGATGTGTCCCATATCAGGACAAAACAGCCATTCAGTGCTTCCAGGTTTCTAATGCTGGTCTAACAATGGCTGAATCACGATTTCAGTACCAAACAATAATCTCAATTACTCTATAATAAAAAAAATAACTTTCTAAACAGTCTTTCAAAATAGAATCTTTTAAAAATATCCCTTGACAAATGCTTCTCTATATATAAATTAGAAATATTGTTCTTATCATATATTTTCATACCATCTATTCTACATAACTTACAACCACCGATCTTTATTTAGCATTTTCAGTTGTTTTTTTCCAAAAATAAAAAATAAAAATAAAAATGAAACGAAAATATCACTAATTAAAACAAATATGTGATTAATTTTTTTTGCCTATTTTTCACTACTACTGTTTCTTCAACTAGTAAACCAGTGTGTTGATTGTGTATTTCCCAGTCTAAAATAAAATAGTACACAGTCAAAAATATAATTTACATAAGAATATGCACGCACACACACAGACACATACACAATTCGCTTTGTAGCCTGTTATTAATACCAGATGTATATTGTAATTTGTTGCACTGTATATATTGTTGTTTCGCGTTAAATTCAAAATAAAATATATATAATTAGTTAGTTATTTGTTTTACTAAGATATACATACATGAAACATTGAACAAATGGATCAAATGTCAATTGGACATTAAAAAGAAAAACAAAACGTAAATGCCTAATGAACGAATAATGAATGAGTAATTGATTGTTGAGTAATTGGACTAATAATAATTCATTAGGTGAATTGAATACCGAGAGAGAGAGAAAAAAACACATTCATAAGTAACGTATATTTTCTTTTTGACGAGATTCAAGCATATAAATAGGATTGTCCAGTAATTACAATAAACGATTAGTATTTCTTCTTTTTATCATGATTTACAAATTATGGGGATTTTTGAATTTCGTGATTTATAAATATTATTCAAGTATTAACGAAGAGATAGAAAGTTACTGTTTCATACATCATTGTTCCAGGCCACGTGCACTGAATGGTTTCCGAGTATTAAGATAACTGTTGAAATGCATTTTGATAGTGAGATATTTATTTAACTTCGTTAGATTAAACGAGGAGCTCACCATTTTCATGGTCCGCGAGCTGACTCTTATTTGTACGATCGCTTAAATATGCTATAAAATAAATCTTTCTTTTCGTTTCCCTAGTTCATACTTAAGCAAACCCCGTTTTTGCGATAGTGGTAGTAAGAAGCCAATTAATTTAATTCATACAATCGTTCATGCAGGCAGACATGATAATACGGAGCGTAAAGGAAAAGCGAACAGAATTGGAGAAGGAGAGTGAGCAGATTCAATGCAATGAAGAATGATTTGGTATTCAAAGTCGGGAAAAATGAACTAGACATGTCGATAAGCGAAGTAAGCAGCAGACAGACACTCAAATAAAGACAACCTCGATATGAGAGAAAGAAGTGTGAACATCTCGAAAAGAATACATTGATTAAATTGTCCGAAGGCTGAGACAAGCCCTATTGGTTAGACATGTTAGTGCA